TGAACTTCTCAAGTAAATCTATGGATTTTCAGGCTAACAATGAAGCTCACTCTATCACCAAACCTTTTTGCTTAAATTTGAGGGATTTTTTTTGTTGTTTATAGTCAATAATTACCTAAATGTCTCTATTCAGTAATGCAGTAAATGTACTTTATGATCTTGACTGCTAGTTTTATTATTTACATAAATGCTGCACTGCTACACCAGTATAATCTGAAACCATGACCTTGAGGTGGGAGACAGCTTTGAGTGCCTGTTCTTTAAAATACAGAGTTTATTTTCATTTTTAAGAGATAGTACTGCTACATATCTAAGGAAATATGCAGGAGAGCATAAACAAAATGTGCTCCACATTTCTTCAATTTAGTCTCATCAACAAGACTGTGGTAAATTGCACTCTTCAAATAATGCTCTGCTGGCTTTTTTTGATGCGGTTACCTGCTGACATCAGTCTGATTAGCTGAGCCTGTGTGCTTGAAGTTGAAGCTCAAAGTACTTTGTTGATTTTTTTCAAATTCTGTTTCTCACAAAGTGCACATCACTTTTTAGGCCTGTCAACTGAGCTGTCCAGGAGTTTTTCAAGGTGACACACTTGGTTTTAGTCGTTCAGTTTCAGAACCATAAACAGTTAAATAATAAAACGCATTATTTTTTACTCATAGGATACTGATTTAATCATATATTTTAATCATTTTATGTTTGGGTAACGGTGAAAACCAACCAAAAGGGGAGCTGCAATACTTGATTTTGTGTGTTTCATGCGTCACAAGAGTAAAAAATAATTATAATCTTGGAAACGATCATTTTTAGTTAAAGCACTTCACTGCGGGCCGGTGTGCAATGATGCTTTAAATAGTTTTGCTTCTGTTTACCACATTTGTGCAGTTGCATGCTGCTGTTGAATAAATGACACAAAACAGATTTAATAAGCTATATGTGAATATGTTCATTTAAAATCTAACTTCTGCTGGTTCATGCTTGTACTTGTGCATTGGCCTGTTTAGACACAACTCAGTCTTAGACAAGCGAAGGGTAAAATAGAAGCAAAAAAAAGGGGAACCCCCACCTTGAACATGTGGGTGAGTCATTTTGGCCACTATACACATGTAAAGGACCACAGCATGTCAGCTTTCTCCATGTTGTACATCATTAAAGCTGCAGTGACACCTCAGATGTGGAGGGTGAACTCTCCCACCCAAACTTCCCCTTTCCCATTTTGTAACCCCTTTATGGATTTCACATATGTATCTCCTTATTTATGTCCACTCTGTCTTCTATCATCACAATGAAATGCAGTCACTCTTTGAATCTGACCGTAAAACCGACTGGAGTCACGTTAATTGTCAGACGCAGACGCAAGTTCGGATCATAAACGCTGTACTACATACTGCTGCTTTAAATCACAGGCAAATCTCTCCCTCCTCTCTCTGCTGCCTTCCAAAGTGATTTGGTCTCAATTTGTAATAAAAAAAGACCAGCACAGACAGAGAAAGCACTACCAGTGCCAGAGATAGGCTCCGCTTTCGTGTTTTGCATTTTTTCACCTTTTCTCCCGTCGCAGTGACTGACTTTTAATCTAATAAACATTGCATGAGCCCACTGACCAGAACAAAGAGGGAAGAAAAAAAAAAAACATCTTTCTGAACATCTATCAGATCTCTCTTGTTAAAGAAAAAGGGGGTGGGATGGGTGGAGGGGTGTCCCTTAATAGGAATGGGGGTAGGATATAAGGTTTCATGCCAAGATCGTAAAATTACTGAGGAATAAAAGCCATTCATTTCACATGACATCACCACCTTCTGAGGATGTGAGCTTCAGCAGCTTCAAAAGGAGGACAAAATGTTTCCTCCACTGACTTCGGTGCTGGTGTTGTCTGACAAGTCGTACAAACGCAGCAGAACAAAGGAGCAGGATTAGTCTCCCTGCTATTGGCTCCTGGCTTTGAAACATGCAATAAAAACTATTACATTCTCAACAGCGTAAACGTCCTGGTACATAGTTTATATATATGATCAGAGAGAGATGCTGCTTGGGGCAGATTTGAATGGATTTCTTTCTTTCAAGATGTATGTACAGGAAAAGTTACCACACGCCTCAGAGTGACCCTGGTGGTGAAATCACATAGCAACAGCTTACACAACAGGGATGATAAATAGCATTTTGCAAACCCCTTTCCTCAGAATACCGCCGCACACTTCCAGTTAAATACTTGCACTTAAAACATTCCCTCTTATGCGCGCTATTAGTGCTGCCCACTAATTTACACTTCAGCGCTAGTTTTCAGTGGGATCCGCGACCATTATGTTTATTCACATGGCTGTCAGTCACTCGACATGGGACCAAGTCAAATCAGTCTTGCATGCTTGACACAAATGATACAGCACTGGAGCATGCTCCAGGGGTACTAATGGCCGGTCTGAGTAGTTCTCAGTCACAATGTCATAGAAAACACATAATTTCCAACCTGCTCCAATGCTAACCAAAGCCTCACTCTGAGAGATATACATCTGCTAATGGCTGAGGCACTGGCAAATAGTGGTGGGCTAGCTACGTATGATGCATATCTGCAATCAACAGTTACCCTCACCATGTGGGAGAGAGGAGGTGGTATGTGTTTAGTGACTGTTCAGTATAAATTGGAGGTGTATCCAACATTATATGCACCACATGAACTCAGAGGGGTTATAATTCCTGCGAGCAGCACAGACACAGAAATGTATGGAGCTTCAAAGGAGAGAGGGCCTTGGATAGTTGGTGGGCCTTCATCTTTCTGTTTTATTACTTTATCTACATAAAAACAAACAGGGATGCTACATTCAAAACACACACAGACATTATTAACAAAGTATAAAAGAATAATTTCATTTTTCCCCCTTTCTCAGAGAAATGTGACACATCATCTGGCGCAGTATTGCGTTGCCCGGGGTGAGAGCCCTGCACAGTAGATGGACCGCTGTAATTTCTCATCTATCAAATTATGGTTTATTGTTCAGCACAGCAACCCGGGGCTACGCACAACCCTGTGCACTGACAGTTATGAAACATTATATTTTCCACTGTCATAGTCCAGGCACAAGACAAAGCTTAGGAAGGAAAAAAAGGAAAGAAAACAGAAGAAAAAAGAAAGAAAGACCAAAGTAATCTCTACACTCCTCATGTCAACATTTATGGTAAAACAGAGCTTTGATCAAAGCCGTTCAAGCCTCTGTTGCTGTTTCTGAGGTTTGCTAACGACATTAGGTTACTCAAATTGCCATTAGCTACCACTGTATAAGCTTGTTTATTATTGCCATGGTAATGATTTTTCTACCAAATGAAATTTGTCGGCAGGAAATTGTGTTTAATGCTAGCCTAATGAGTCTGCTGTAAATTAGCCGATGTGCCCGCGTGGATGACTAAAAGGCCTTTAAGCAACCTTTGGTCTCTGTTGAGGGTAATTTGATACTGCCACTGATGATTCACTTAGCCCGGCTAAAAGCTATAGGCTTGCATCTCAAGAAGGACATGTGAAACTACTATCGCTCTTAAACTAGAAGGGAATGTGAAAATAATCCAATCCACTTGCAACTGGATGACTTTACGACATTGAACATGAACTCCTGACTGGAGTCAAGGCAATTTGGTGTTTTTGTCGCCAAGGTCAAGGTTCAGCTACACATGCAGCTCACAAATGAGCCGGTCTTCAATCTTGGCCTAAATAAGATGGTGAGTTGGTGACGATTGAAAATGGATTGACTGCCAACACGTCTCTGTTGTCATTCTTACTATCACACTTTGTCTTTTATATGGATCAACACTTTTGCATCGAGGAACAAAGTTACGGTCAGAAAAGAAAAGCAAAAACATATCTTGACGTGATTAAACTGCACACAGTCATCCCTCCCCTTGGACATCATTTGGCACATTTTCCAAAAAACCCGTAAAAATTAATCTTTATTATGAAATAGCATCAAGTATAAAAAAACATAACATTTCAAAGAAACTTTTCAAAGGTGAAAGAATATTAAAAAATAACCAAGTAGAATAACAGAAAAATTGTGCTAAAGATACAAAAAAAAGCTAATTTAGTGCATTTTTTCCCATATTGTCTGGAACTGTCAGTGCCCGGTTTAATATTGGGGTTTATTAGTATCTGAAAGCTTCCGTTAGGACTGCTAATAGGACGGTGTATACTGTGGTGAATCAATCCATTTGAGGGAATTACTCCTTACAGAGATGTAAAATCAGCTTCTTTATAAACACACAAAAGAATCTGTGTATCAAAGACCTTCTGGTTCAGTGTGTGTATGTGTGTGCGTGTGTGATTTTTGCATATGCACAACCAGGCATGCCCTGTGTTTATAGTTGGCTTTTTGCCAGGTCTGCAGCGAGTGCTTGGCTTCCTGATGCATCTGCGTATGCAAAAGACGGTGTATGTGCTTGAGTGTGCACACACATCGCTGGCACCCCTGCAGGTTTGCGGAAGCACACGTGGGTATTTCGTGTTGAATTTACCATGGTTCGTCACAGGCATGGCAGCCACGCCCCCTGGCATATTCCCCTGAGATCTGATAAGAGGTGTGTGTGTATGTGTGTCTGGAGGTTGACTGTGTCTTGTGTTTTTAATGGTGTGACATTCCTCCTTAATGCAGGTGGCCCCCGCAATCTCAATACCCTTCCTCTTTAGACACTTGTCTGTGTTTAGTGCCACCCCCTGCCGCGCCCCCTGTCTAACCCCCCATTTCCTTGTACCTCCCACCGCACCTCGCCCACCCACATCGCCCCTCCTTCTCCCGCAACACGTGCCCCCTCTTAGTGCCAACATGCCCCGCGTCCCCCATCCTCCCCCCCTCCTCCTTTCACCCCCTCCTTCACTCCTGTTTTTCCCACGCCTGCCTCTTTCTGTCATCACGTAGTAGGAGTGGTATCACCGCACGTGCCCCTTTTTAGTGCCAACAAGCTCCCCCGTGGCCCTCCTGCACCCCCCCTCCACCCCCCACCTTCCCGTCTTCCTCCCCCCCATCGTGTCTCAGCTCCCGCCTCCTCTTTCTCACACTGTTCGTCTCATCACTATGTAAGTGGGGATACCAGCCTGTTTTGCATACGGCTGTTTAGTCCTTTGTGGCAGGCGGGGCGGCATGCGAATATGCAAAACGGTACTGGGAGGCATTTTGTAGTGTGATGAGGAAAGGGAGACTGTGGTGGGACTGTGAATGATGCCGCCGTGTGCGCGAACACTTGTGTGTTTTCAAACCGATTCTTTGCGATGGTTGGTACGGGAGCGAGTGCCACCAGAACCAAAGCCAGTTGATCAACGTGGCGATTGGAATACCAACACCAAGCAACCATAAATCCTACATGGAGGGATCCTCTTATCTTCTTCGGCCTTTATTCCATTTCAGGGACAATGCAAGGAAAGGTTGTCATTTTTCTTTCAACATCATCGTTACTGTAAATCCACACGACACAGAATCGGCAAATATCGGCGGCGAATTAAGAAGAAAGAGACGGGGAAGTTCCTTTGGCTTCCCCCTCCTCTTCACCCATATCCTTCTCCCTTGTACTTATCTGTGGCGGGGAGCCAATGGTTCATTATAATTGGCCGTTGTCATCATGCAGATGACACACAGTCAGCGCTCTGAATATCATTAGCGCCTTTGCATACCTCCGCTCTTTTTTCTTTTTTTTTTCTGTCCTTTCTTCTTGTTCCTTCATCCCGAGGCTCGTTTCGGGACTCGATATTCCAAAAGGTAATTATCATCCGCGAGAGCAGCCTATCAATATGTGGAGATAGCCATAATGGGAGAATGAAGGTGCATGTCTGATTGTCGTTGTCTCTTTCGCTATTTCCAGTGCAAATGTAAAACAATCTCCCGGGGTGTGAGGGGGAATAAAAGTGTATTTGTGTGATTGCATTTGACTCTCCTTTGCTGTGGAGCCCATTGTATATCTCTGTGGTTAAAGTGTGTTCTTTGCTCTCCTCCTCCTCCTCCTCCTCTTCCTCCCCCTCTCCGCCTCGTTTGCATATATCAGCCTCTCCTTGGGTAGAATAATAGCTCTTAATTCTTCTCTGCAGCTCTTGCCTTCTGATCCATGACAAAAAAGAAAGAGGCAGCCGGCCAATTTGCATACTCCGCATACTGATGAGCCGTGTGTTGGCGACTGCCTAATTACCAAGTCCTCCAGTCACTCTCTCTCTCTCTCCTCTTGCAGCTTTCGCTTTTAACCCTCTCTCGCCCAATCGCCATCCCTTCGTCTCCACAGGAAACCTTTGCCGTGTTCAGCATTAATTCATCTGGAGGGGCATGCAGAAACAATAGAGAAACAAGACATGAACAGAAGCATATTGCGGTGACGAGCGGCTCGTTCATTCACCTTCGTTTATTCCCCCGTCTGTGTTTATTGGCTAATTTGCGACTCCTCTCGCTCGCGGCGGCTCTCCTTAAGCTACCCTCTTTGTCTTTGCCTTTGAAATTTACAAAATCTTACAAGAAATCAATACTTAATTGATTATTCACTTTCCTGCAGCCTCAAACGACCGGCGAGTGCACGTGCGTATTAAATCCAGCGTGTGTGTGAGTGTGTACGTGTGAGTGAGTCTCTGGTAGATCCCATGGTAGTCCCAGTTCTTTCGAGGCAGCAGGCGGACGAGGTGGCAGTGAGCTCTGAGAGCAACACTCTGCAGCATCAACGTGGATGTGTATGTGTATGTGTGTGTATGCATGCATGTGTGTGTGAGTGAGTGTGTGGGGCACGTGAGACGTACCAGGGTCTCATCAATAGTGCCAGGGAAGTTCCAAGGTTGCAAGAGGGTTTTCTTCTCAGCCATTTTGGTGCATCCAGAGGAGAGAGGAGCATGGAAATCATCATCAACAACAACAACAACAACAAACCAAGACCGAGCCTGTGGGCACAGGAAGCACTGAAGACTCCAAGCAGGATGTGGAAAAAGTAATGGAAAGGAGTGTGTCCTTGATTCCCGAGCTTTGTTTTTGTCCTCTTTGCCGCCGCTTCTTTGTTTTCCGTCCTGGCGTTGAGAAAAAAGGAGCAGGGCAAGATGCCACCTGGACCCTTTAGAGAACTCTGTGGCAAAGTGGGCGCGGAAATAGGGGCGTGAAGAGAGGGGCGTAAGGAGGAGGAGGAGGAGAGAGAGGGGTAAAGGGTGCCTGGCGCCTGCCTCTGATATGCCATAAGGATGGCAGGCACGTAATGATAGCAAATGTAGAGCAGATTGGCTTGGAGGAGGAGGAGGAGGAGGTGGAAGAGAGACAGGGAAAGGGGGAGAGGAGACAGATGGCAAAGCTGGCCTTGTGCCAACAATACCAAGACATGACTACGCAGGGAAACCTCCCCCTACGCTTTGACACTTGTTGCTTACTGTGTATTTGAGTGTTTGGTCTACGAACTGGAGCTGGAATGTACCAAAATGTTAGTGTTTGCAAAGATATTCCTTCATCTTTATCTGTAAAGGACGGCAATAATATAATGTTTCACCATCCCTGTATGCACTGATGGGATATTTGAGTATGTATGAGAGCCTAAAGCAAAATGAGGGTGAAAGATAGAGGTCTGGCCTCCTATATGACCTCCATTAATGCTACGTGCCAAGGGTCAAATATTGACTCTCTTCACATATCTTTCCTTATAGCCATCAAAAATAGATGTTGCAACCCGCCTCAATCACTGTTCTCCACACTGATGACATTTGAGTTTTAGTGGGGAAAATGTTTTTTGTCTCACAGTCTTCAGGAGTAAGAAAAGAGAAAAAAATTGCTGGCCCGTGTTGGTTTATGACAAGGAAAACGGATGGCAGCGAGATAGAGTATTATGATGTTCATATTGAAATGTGCTGAGCAAACATCTTCCTGTAGCAGCAGACGTGCTCAGCATGTGTGAGGAAAAGAGAGAGAGAGAGTGGGAGGGAGAGAAATGTATTTGGGTAGTGTTTGAGGGGGTGCAAAATACATACTGTACAGTATTTTTGTCTGATTGAATGTGTGCCAATGAAGCAAGTAGTTTTGACGCCACAAAGACGAATTATGGCGAGTATAGCTGGCACATATGAGGAAAAAGGAACATCTGAGGTGATGTGAAGTGGACAGGATTGGAGATGTGTACGATTGTCATGTTTTACCTGTTTTGCATGATTGGTAGTAAAGCAATGCATAAGAAAAGATTGGTCAAAGCTCTGTCATGTGTAGATAAAGAGAAATCATACACTGTGTGTATGTGTGCGTGTGTTTGGGGGGGGGGACTGGATGGAAGGGGGGCGTTATCCAAATCAGACAGCCTATTTGAATAAGAACAATCACAGCTCCAAAATGGAGCAGAGACACAGACAGGGGGAAATGGCGAGGCGATTTGACTTGCGAATAAGGCAATGCATATCTGCATGCTAATTACGCAGCAAGAAGGGGGGAAAAGAGTGGAAAGCGCCCCCCATGCGCCAGACAGAGAGAGGGCGAGGGAGGAAAGACACAGCAGACACGAGAGAGAAACAGGGGGGATGAGCAAGCGAACAAACGGACAAACAAACGAGGGAATCAAAGGGAGCTACAGACGAGATGGGTAATTAATTCCCCATAAGCCTTTATTCAGCGGCGTTTGATTTTCTTTGGAAACAAATCAACGCGCATGGAAGAAGAAGAAAGGAGCACAAGCAGAGGACGAGGGCAGGGATTGGAGCGGGGTTGGGGGGCATCCGAAAATTAAAATTATTGATTGATCTTAGGGTGCTGGGGGCTGTGGCGCGGAGGGCATTTTGAGGATGTAATTAGAGCGGACTGGGACCAAGGCTGGAATGATAATAGATGACGTTGGAATTCACCATGGCGATTGGCCATTAATCTCCATTATCGCCGACCGGGATATTAAAAATTCTAATTGGAGGGACAAAAATGATGTGGCTGGTGTGTGTACGCGTGTTTACAAGTGTGTGTGTGCTGGGATGTTGATCTTGGGAGTTTGGTGATAATTGCCGCCATGGGGGGATGAGGTATAGTATATCAACTGTATGAGCCGCTGATTAGAATTATGAACTGAACGATGCAGAACTGGGTGTAACCTTGTTTCCTTTTTTGTTAATAGAATGTCAAAAAAACTAATTTATCATTTGGGAAAAGCAATTTTGACAACTTAATTTAGTTTTTTGCCTACGTGAACATTAATGTATGGTTTCATTTCACTGTGTGTGTAATGACGTATGAATTTGTGTATGTTTTTAAGGTGTTTTCGTGATAAACTAGCTCATCTAATGACAAAATGTTCCATGTCACTTGCGGTTTTGATACAAAATGATCCATAAACACTGTCTTTGTTTGTTTTTTATCAATGAAGATGATAATTTTCGATTTGATTTATGATATTTATAAGAAATCCTGAATGCCATATCTATCTAGCAGTTTAAAATATGTTCTGTTTGTATTAAAAACAATTTAACAAACTTCATATGTGTTTGATTGTTTGTGTTTTTGACATGTGGTGATAAGTTCTCAAACTCTGCTCTGAGAGGAAAAGCCCTGCTGTAGGGAGTCCTCGGCCCCCGCGGGTGCTGTGATGTCACCGTGGCCTTGGATTCGCCGTTTGCACTAAGTTACATCAGCCCAGATTAAGGAGCACAGATGACAGGCCAATACTGTGTTTATCAATAGCTCCACCACCTTGCATGACTGTGCTGTGACACTGTCGATAGATTATGAAATCTTACTGTGTCAGCTATTCAATATTACAAATTGCCTGTGTGTAGTCGGCATGCTCGTGCACGCTCGCATTGGTGTACGTGTGTGTGTCCCTGACGTAAATATGCAAGAGGTTAATGCATATGTTCCAGTAACGTCTCCATGTATTCACTCTGCATGATTAGGAACTGTCCTTGAATTAGTAAGATGAAACCGCAACCCCCAACTGTGCCGCCGTCACACACTTGTTTCCAACACACACACTCGTGATATTGTTTTACACCTTAAGACAAGCAGTCACACAAAGATCCCCTATTAGGTCTAAAATGAAGACATAGCTGCACTCAGACAAGCAAAATAATGAAAAACACTTCACCTCTGCTGTTAATTCATTGTTCATTAGAGAAAGAAGACACTGTCACCATGTAGGGTTCGCATGCTTTTATTTGTGTTATATGTGCGCTTCTTTGTGTGTGTGTGTGTGCGAGAGGGCCTGTGTGATGTCATTACGTTAATGGTCTTTCGCTGGGGCTAGTCATTAAATGAGGATATTAAAGCAGTAGCCTGTTTTTATATGCATGGAGGGGTGATGTGTGGGGGTCACATTTGCTTGAAGCCATCACTCATGCACGATGGGAGGATGCACAAACACACACAGGGACACATACAAATCTGCAGAGTGCGTAAGTAAGGGGTCACACTGCTCTTTTGAGGAGAAACATGTCTATTTGTACTGCTCTTTCTTTGCATACAGTGACAGACACCTACTTGGCCTCCATTTAAGTTGCTTTTTATCCATATGTACCCTCTTTCAAGCCAGATTGATCCTGATATTTATGAGCTGGGCTTGACATGCATATTATTATTGTCATTACTGTTATTATGCATTTCAGGGGTGGGAAATAACATTATGCCAGGCAGAGGCGGTGCAAAAGCAGAAGCTATCACTGCTGCAATCATCAGATTGGCCTGATTTATGATTTATGCAGACCACATACCGTCTCAGATAACGCCCCAGGAGGAGCCGGGCTGTAAAAAATTGTTTTAGCCAATTGATTAATCAAGACTGGTCATATGTGTGAGTACTTCATTTGTATATGTGCTTAGATTGCGAAGGGAAATGTGTCTTTATCTTGTGTCTGAATCTGTATGAGCATATGGGTGTCTGGCTGGTGTTGGAAAAACTGATTTGGTGGTGTGACCTTGTGTGGCGGGGATTGGTGGGTTTGGAGAATGTGATGGAGAGAGGGGGGGACAGCTGGTAAAATGTGGGAGTAAGTCAAAGAAAACAAGATTGGTATGGTAACCTTTTTTTTCCCCACTGAAGTAATGAAAAGTGTACATTTTTGATGACTTGCAACCCAATAATTCCTGTGAGTTGAAAGCTGGAGTGTAGAAAATTATGAATTTGTACAACCTCTCTCTTTCTGTTAATCATCTCCTCATGTTATAAACATCAAAACTGTGTTTTCTGTCTTTGTTTTTTGGAGCTTTGATTTATGTGACAATGACATACTAAAACAGAGCATATTTTGTTAGAGGGGAAATAACTTCTATTAAATGTTCAACGGCAATAATTAAAGAGTGCCAAAAATGCCTCCAGGTGGTGAATTGTTTTCTAAATGATGGTACAAGCAAAGTACTTGTTTCTTACCTTGATGTCATGTTCGTAGTTAGAGCAAAGAGCAGGAGTGATCTTGCACTGCTTCATCTCAGCATCTCTCCGTGGCTCCCTAAAAAAAAAATTAAAACTGATCAGTAAAGTAAGGCATCATCAAAGCATACTGAAATGACTCAAGAGAACAGTCAGTGACAATGCCAGGAACAGTCGTGACAGCTCCAAGCGGCTTAAAAGTGAAGCAATGTGGTGAACTTCTAAACAGGTATAATCTAGTTTAATAAAAAGGGTCACTTTTTAGGTACGACAGACCAAAACAAATGTCGTCCCATAACACTTTTACATATGGAACAATCAGAGACCCAGTTTTGTGTCTAGTCACCAATCCTGAAGTAAGAGTTGAGCCTAGAGTCTACAGTGTTCAAGTCTAAGCCTCCAAAAAGGAATCAAAGTTGCGCTCCTATTACCCAAGTCCAAGTCCAAGTCGAGTCCTTGTGAAGGATAACTGTCTGACATTGACATATCAACTGGACTGACTGTGTCTAGAAAACTTGTTTTATTTACGGGCATCAGACTGTGATCCTGTCAGAGATTCAAATGACCAAATTAAGTCACCATTGTCTATAAATGTACAACACGCTCTCTTAATAAAAAAGAGGACACATTGTTTCTACCACGGTGGGATCCATGCAGGTGTTTTGTAAACTCAAGCGACTGGTCACCCAGCTGCTATTAAACTAAACATACAGCTTGGATCCAACGGTTGAGTCAGTCTAACGTTTGCTAACAGAAATTCTTGTACTTCAAGTGTAAAATCAGTGAAAATCAAGAAAAACACAAGGCACACGGGTCTGGACCCTCAAAGCCAGGAAAGTTGATCTGTGGTGAAGAGAGAAACTGAAAAAGACAAATACAGCTAGCTGGCCACAAAAATGTCCGCAAAAATTAAGACTTGTAGTGGTAACAACAACAATAAGATTAGAAATATGATGCATTTTGGTACGATCAAGACAAGGTTGTAGCCAATTAGTATTTTGTACTTGTTAAAAGCGTATAGCTCAACAATGATGCAACATTAATATCTCGGTTACAGTTTATTTTTTGACTGTTTTACAGCCACCATTTCCAGCCCAGGCAACAAGACATCTACTTCTCTCAAATTAGGATTAATTCATGCAGCTATTTTGAAGTTTGTTTTGGTGATCTGACTGTAATCTGTATCAGAGGACACACAGTGTGGAGAAATTTTGGAAGACACTACTGGTGCATTCAGAGGGGTCGATGTACAGCTCTCTTGGGTGTCCAAATCATCCCAGTGATCACAGACCCCCTCAACCTGGCAGACTTTCTTGTCCAGTCCACACACTGAGCTACATGGAGTAATGAAGGCTGAACAGCTGACTAATAGCTGGTTCTGTCCTGTGCTAGAAACTGAGTAAGAAGGTAGTAAGACGGCTATGGGCAAGGGCAAATATCTGCCACATGAATGCATACAGCCCCTGTTTGTCATCCTGATGTTATTTAGGTGACTGCAGGTAATATTGAAAAGCAATAGGCAAGATGATTGCATGCGATTCCTTTCTGTGGTTTTGGTGTCCTTGCTAAAGCAGACCATACATGCACACAATCCAACAACCTACAGGCAGATTTCAGGGATTGGGACCAATTGCAGCATCGGTGATGCAGAGCTAAAGGGAAGTAGCCGGCCACGGCCAGGCTGAAGGAACCACTGCCGAGGTGATTATAGATTCTGAAAGCAGCGCTGGACTCTGAGGCAGAGATTATTATAAATTTGGTCATTGGCAATGAGGACACTACAGGGGAGAGAAAAACAAATATTAGGGCCCCCTTCAATGCCGGAGCCAGTGTGAGCTGTTTTCCATTTTAATGCATTATGTGTGTATAAGGGAGAGAGGGGAGATGAGTTTTTTTTTCTCTTCTCGATGTGGGCGTTTGTGTGTGTGTGTGTGTTAGATTCAGCAAACTCAGATTTACATTTCCCTTGCACTGCCTGTGAAATGTTTTCAGACGTGGACAGCGTGACTGCAATAATATATAAGGCTCGTTTTCCCGCACTCTCTCCCTTTTTTTGCTTTCTGTCTTACACGTACTTACATGCACACACACTGCAGGCACAGACAGTTTGAGAGGATGAGGGAGCGCAGCTGTAATTACCAACCGAGAGAAAGAAATGGAAATTCACACTTAGTCTGATTCTGTGGTTAGCTTTCAAGCCACTCCTTCACTTAAGCTTATATTGACACATGGAATTAAAGTGAAGGTCCCCAGACATCGCACAGTTAAACACACACAGAAGAATCCAAAAGTTCATCATTATGAAAGGTCTTTGAGATACACATGAGGAAAAATGTGTTTTGCAAAAAAGATTATTTATAAAGTCATGTTTCTTTCTGTCAATTAAAATACCATAAGATTAAAGCCATAATACTTGGGATTCTTGAGGTCTTTTCTTGATTATGAAAGCGACTCTTGTTATTAGTAAGTTGGTATTAACTTTCCAAGGTTAAAAATCAAAAAGCATTGCTTTACAAAGGTTTGAGCAGACATGGGTGGAATTTAATTCGCTAGAAAATAGTGAGATAAAAGAAGTTATACAAACTATTTGTCTGAAGTATTGGAGCATGTTTCAGGTCTCTTTATGTCACTGTCATCGTATGGTTGGGATTGGTATTTGCACGGACCTCGTGATTCAATACCTGTCATCAAACATTGGCTTCAATACAATTCTATTTACTGAAAATTAAATAGTCTCAGAATACAACCTGAAGAGAAACAGAGTCAAAAACTACGTCATTTGAATTTCTACACTAATTCATTGGACTGTGGGGTCTTCAAAATCAAAATTTCAATCTTTAATATGGTACAAGTAAGAAAAAAATTCAATACCCACGCAATAAAGATATAACTCTAGTAATAAACATAAAGGAACTAGGCAGTCCTGGGTAAAAGGACTTGTGAACTTGCAAAGCAGAATGAAGATGTTTGTACTCTTTAAACTTCGATAAAAATACTTGGGCTGACAATGTGGCTTAATAACACACAGACTTAACATCGAACTTTGATTAAATAAGACAGCAACGGCAAAAATACACAAGATCAAAAGCAAGGGAATGATTGTTTGAAGAATTACTGCAAAAATAATCATATGGGGCAGATAGAAACCCTGGTTTTAATGATCTTTCCATTCTAGTAATGTTATACAAAGACATAATGACGTCATGTTCGGAGCAGCATGTCATAAAAATCTTAGCAATACCAAAACAAGGCAGAGAGCCTCCTCAAGAGAGCAACTACAGGCCTCTTAGCCTGCTTTAACATCAACTATAAGGTATTTCCTCAAGTCCTTGTGATGTGCCTTAAAGAGTCGCACACTTACTTGTCCATTTCGATCTAGTAGGTTTCATAAAAAGTTGCCATGTCCTCAACCAATATAAAGTGCTAGTCAATAAAATACAACCGCCATACTGTTTTGCACATGCAACATGTTGTTTATGGTTGCTAAAATAAGCATTTCATAGGATCTAATGGCCATTTTTTTTCTCTTATTATTTAGCTGAAGGGATTAAAATGAATGAATATGATTTGTAGAATAAACTTGTATGCAGATGATGTATTACTAACTTCCAAACCTAGTAAACTCAGCGCCACTGAAGTAATTGAGTTTCTCAACCTTTCAGGGTAGAAATTCAATTTTAACAACAGTGAAGCGACTCCTCTAAACTGAGAAAGAAGAGTGTTGTTGAGGACATTTCAGAGCAAATATCCTGCTCTTCCTATAACATTATTTTTGAATGTTCAGATAAATCTGTGCAGCGAACAGTCTTCTAAATCTTGCGAGTAGAGGGCAGAAACCCAGTGACAATGACAAGGAGGAGCGGTGACAATGGTTTCCTCAGAAAGCTGACATATTTATGAAATGTAATCTGTTATCGCTGCCAAATGTCCTCTTGTTATGTATTTTTAATGAAGTGCATTGTGTTGAGTTGTTATGTGTGTGCTTGTACTCGATCTTTGATTCTGCAGTGAAAATAAAATATAAATTCAGCTTTAAAAAGTGTCTTTTGTTAAATGAATTTGTTATAATGTTCATTTTCTGCCTTCCTGTGACACTAAACAAGTTGCACTGTTAGCAGCTTGTCATGATAGTAATTACTTTTTTATGTTGGCGATAATATATCAAAACTATAAAGCAATTAAAACTGAAAATGTAATATCAGCAGGCATGATTGGTGATTTAATTGCATCCCAAGATGCAGCTCGAGCATGCATCTCGAGTGCATTACTTCCAAGGTAGTTTACAGTATCGGTTCTGTTTGTTGGTGAGCGGATATTTTAGCTGCTGAAAGGTTGTCTGTGCCCGAGGGGTTCCGATTCGCAAGGATCTATCATGCAACCAAAATCACAACCATAAACGATCCTCACATCCATCTATACATTCAGAACTTACCCTGAGGCTGTGTGCCTGCCTGAGCCCTGTCTAAGCACTTTGTCATTTTAAGTGTAACACAGTTATTGATTCCATAGGTTTGATTCTGAATGCAATGATGTCTTCCTCCGAGAGTTGATTAAACCCTTTTGGTATTGACTCACTGGGCTCATATGTATGTGTGTGTGTGTTTGTGTTAGTGTGCACCTCTGTGACAGTTTGTGTACACGCATGCATGGGTTCATTGACAGAGCATTACAGAAAGCCACAGCGTCAGGATGTGTGTTCTCGAAAAACCGTAGTCCCTCACTCTGTCTTGAGGATCCTGGACCTTCAAGCTCTGGGTTTATCTCGTCTTAAGTCGAGTCACATCCACTTAGCTCTCTGTTCTCACACACTCACTCCTCTCTTCCTCAATCAATGCTAAGCTAGTCAGTATATTAGGTATCACCCCTGGAGCGGAACTACAAACACACTTGGCTCTTACAATGAATTTGACTGCCAAGTTGTTTGCGACTTAATGCTTTTGTTATCTTCTTTAGGAGACGAATAACATCCATTGCAGTCATGCTAGCAACAGTATGGATGCAGTTTTACCAGCAGTGCTGCATTTGAAGGGAAAAATCAAAACAAAAACAGTCTTTATTGCTTGCAGGCAGCAACCCAAAGACTGTAAAATAAAAAAGAAAAGGAAGAAAATCCTCACTTCAACTGAACTTTATGCAGTTTGTCTGGAATCACAATCAATAAACTAGTTATTGATCTTTACAGCCTTGATTTACTTGACTCACGTTATTTAATTTTCAGATCATAATGAGGGACATAAGATTTATAGTTCCTCAGATGTTTGCAAGACGAATAAGTGCACCAAAAGGGGCGATTGTCATCACAGCCTCATAAAAAGTCATCCTATATGCAAAGCAGACATTTATGGATTTCCCTTGACTCAACAGTTTGGCTATGAACTGATATGAACATATGTTGCATTGTGTTGGTCCACTAGTCAGACATTAAGCATTACACCACTCACAAGACCTGCAGTGCACAAAGCTGGATCACTAACACACAAACATAGATTGTCAGAAGTTGAGTCCTGTTTGAGTCAAGTGAAACAGTCTTTGTAATAACTGAATGAGATGTGATTTGTTGTGCCTTTAAATGCACAGTGAGACTTTTGCAAAGAAAACAAAAATAAACAATTGATAAAAAAAATGTGTCATTGCATGTGCAGCAGCTCTAGACCAGGAAATCGTACCTCAAAGAATATGACTACACGTAGTTGGTTTCTCCTCTGTGCAGGTCATTGCCATTGCTGTTGACAGTTGCTATCAGACCTCCAAACCCTATTTGATTTTTATTGATCAGTGAGGGAGAGTTGATGAGTGAAGCAGTTTTCCTTACTTTAAATATTTGGCCTTAGGAGCCTTTTTTGAATGGGAATAGGCACTGCCAGGGTAAAAAGAAGTCATTAGTGGACACAGGCCCTAACTCCTAAAATCCTCTATTTTGTAGGAATGAGGGTGCGCACCAATGCCACGTTTTAGAGTCCCACTTCAATTGTTTTCTTTTTTTTTGACTACTTCAAGTGTTCTTAGTGGTCCTTAAACTGTTATTATGAAGTTTCTAGACAAAATCACGTTATCTGTGTCATTTTCGAGGGCTTTTCTTCTGCAGAGCTCCAGTAGATCATTAGCATTTCGCATCTGAGTTGTGGGCGGCTCTGCAAACTTCTCAAGTTAGCTTGAAGCATGAAAGTGATACATGAAGCAGCATGAAAGCTAATATCATAATTAACTTTCTTATGAGCGTTTCAATCCGCTAACACAGACACTTGTTGCGCGATCGTCCTCTCTAGTTCTCCAAACCTGGCCTGCATAGCGGAGCTCTCGGGGCGGAGCTTAGATTTGTTACGTAGGAAATCTTACTGTATCTGATGCTGCTGTTTGGATCTGCCAGAGATTCACAGCGATTTGAGTGCAGAAATACTCAGAAATGCAATTCCGCACTTTGTTTTCTCATGATATGTCCTCGAGCATCAGAAAAATGCCATATGAGCATGCAGACAGCAAGAAAAAACATGATTTTCATCGGAGTGGGTCTTTAACCAGGACAACCCTCCTTCTTTGCCATATTACATGACCAATGAAACAAACAACAAATTCAAAGTTGCTCAAAGGATCTTGATGACCGATTCAGATTAAAAATTTGGGTAAAATGCAAGTATGTTAAAGAAAAAATATGCACATCTTATTACAAAACTGTACCCAAAGTTCAAAAGTTGCTCATATACTTCACAGAAAAATAAACCAAAGACCAAAAGAAGTCGACTGCATCAGTTTTACGTCACAAAGAAAAGATTATAGCAACCATTTCCAAGCCAGCATGTAAGGAAATAGGGAAAAATAGTCGAAAAAAACATCTTAACATACTAATTATCATCAGTCTGCTACATTCACCCTGCTGTTCAAAGGTTCTGTTTACTTGGCTTTGTGAAAGAAATGGGTATTTGCTTCACATTAAAACAGGCTCTTGAATGATATAACGTTAAAAAAAATGCATCTTGTAGGTTATTTGGTAAAAAATAAAGTAAAATATCTCCTTCCATACAAGCACTTAAACTGCACCACATTCCCACAGTGTATGTATCAACGTGATAACAGTAATCTCTGATTTACAGCGATGGCAAAATGAGGGCAGGTTACTGAGGTCAATAAATATGTTGCTAAAGAAATAGTGTATATCTCTGTAAAGCTACACAGGATTTTAATTTTGCCGCAAACATAGAAGAAGAAAGAGGAGTAGAGCCTCTCTGTTTATCAGACAGACACACAAACACACACTAACATGCACCTACACCTCGCCAAGGTCCCTGATGCTAATTAAAGGGAAGGTAGGCGAGCAGAGATGTGATAACTCTGTGAATCATGTAGAATAGTTGTAATGGGTGACCTTTTTTTTCTCTCCCCATGCGGCGGGCAGAAATCTCATTTGAGAGTGAGCCGTTCCAATTTGCTGCGGCGAGGCAGGTGTCAAAGTCTCAAGCAGGCAGAAAAACATCCCTTGGTGCCTTCTCCTTTGTTTGAGATCATGTGATGCCCCTGTGTGAAAATGCAAAGAGCTGCAGAGTCTACAGAAAGCAGGTTTGTATTTCATCTCTCCACACTTCTCTCTTTCTCCTTTTCTTCGTCTGCACTTGGACTTAATATGTAGAAACAAAGAGTGTTTTCTGTCTCCGTGTTTTGTGTATAGAAAGGATTATGTTAGTGATCAGAGCAAACATGAGAATTATAAACACAGTCCATCTTCATTAGGCTGCAGGCCAGATATTACTGAGCTGGACAGCCTGGAATGTTTGGTCGTCCATTTAGCCAAGGGCAGGAGCAGGAGGGCTGCTGTGCAGGGCTCCAACTCTCTTTGATCCTCTGCAAGTGTGTGTATGTGTGTGTGTGCAATGCAATTTCACAACCCAAGTACACCAGCTGGTCCACGTTAAAGTTCCAAGGTAACCATGGCGCCCCACGGCTGGTGTAGTGTGTATGTGTGTGTGTGTGTGTATGTGTGTGATAACATGTGGTATACGTTTGGATGCGCTCCTCCACTCGTTCCCCCCCTTTGGCTTTGACTTTTAAGGAGTTTCGACACTGAGCTTTTGCCTCCATCAGGTAAACAGGATACGGGTCACTGATAAAACAATATATACACATACACAGCCTACCACCATGGGAGGATGTGTGTGTGTGTGTGTGTGTGTGTGTGTATCCCCCTGAAACCGCTGAATACCTGGGGTTAGGTCACCTAAAATAGTTTCCTATGTATCACTTTCAATTGGGATTTTTTAGTATCACATGGTGTAAATAGTGTTTGAGCCGCTCTGCCAAGAAATATCTCAGGGGGAAACACTGATACACCGAATATAAACAAGACCGGAGCAAAGTAGCGCTAATGTCGAAAAAGAGTCATGTTTAATCAGGCTTTTATTTGTAAAACATGCCGGCCAAGTTTACCCCTACTGTTTGGTTTACTTTTATTGAATATGGCTGCATTGTGTCCAGCATGAGAAACATAAATATCAAAATTTTATGGATGATGCCTCTTAATTTTGCCAGAATACGAACACTTAGCAACCACAAAGTCAAAAATATGTTTTTATTTTTTTAATCTAACACGGTGTGCATGCCATTATTTTGGTTTACTTGCGCAAAAATAAAGCAGCAACTACGTAAAAAAGCGTTTTAAGGGCAAAAAAAGAAAGAAATACTACATACATACATACATGTGAGGAGAAGCAGAGTATCTGGAGTGCAAAGGTCTTGGAATTTAAACACGTATGTTCGATTTGTTTATTTTGTGCTGTAGAGTTCCACGCGACCTGAGAACACATGTACAGGGACGTGAAGCACATGCCTTGGATTTCAGCATTATTCATACATTCTCACTCTTCGTCTGCACTCACAAATATTTATTTTGCAAAGAAGAATGAAATCACAACAGAAAAAAAAACGACAATGAAACAAACGTTGCACTGAAAAACACAGATTTCCAACAAGGTCACATCACTTTCTTTAAGTGTTGTTTGGAGTGTAGTTGGGTCACCGC